GCTGTATCCCCCTGCCCCCAGCCCTACCTCCTGCTTCTGCTTGAAAGGACACTACCAGGGGCAGCAACCTGGGGGCCAAGTCCTGAATCTTTACTTACCAGCTGTACGTCCATCTGTAGGCTAGTACCATCACTTTCTAAGTCCCCTACTCATGGGTAAACTGTGGAGGCTGTGTACCAATGAGCAGTTCCTCAAAGGAAGAGGCACCGCAGGGGTCCCTGGGGAGGGGGACTGCCTTGGTTCTCACATCCTGCACGCCCTTTTGCCTGAGTGACTTGCAGCTCCTCCCACCAGACGCTGGGATCTGTCCCCTGTCCTCCTGAATAGGGGTGGTGGGGTGGTGGAGGGGGGTTGGTGTGACTTGTCCTGACCAATAGAATGCAGTGAAGGTGAAGCTGTGGAACTTCCTGGCCTCAAGAGGATGGTAGCTTCCATGTGACCATCTTGGAGCACTGAGGCACCATAAAGTCCAGCTAGCCTGCTGAGGAGACCACATGGACACAAAGAAGCCAGCTGGCCTCCCGCCCTTCCAGCCTCCCCAGCTGAGGTGGCAGGTGTGGCCAGAAGTCCCCTTGGGTCTTTCAGCCCCAGTCAGTCTCCCAAGTCGATACCATGTGAAGCAGAGATGAGCTGTTCTTACCAAGCCCTGCCCAGGTTTTAAAACTGGGAACAGGGCCAGCCGAGAGGCACGTTGGTTAGGAGTTGGCTTGGGACGCCAGTTCTGAGCAGCAGGGCCCCGGTTCGGATCCCACATGAGGGCCAGTGACGCTGTGCCCTCTACAGCTAAGACAGTGAACAACAGCTCAACCTGGAGCTGGGTTGCTGTGAGTTGCAGGCTACTGCGTAGGCTGCAGTGGGGCTGGCCGGCAGCGGAGCTTTCATGAGCTGCGGTGAGCCGCTGTGAGTAGCCGTCCAATGGCCGGCGAACGACTGCCTCCCAGGGGAAGAACACAATGATAATACCAACATGAGCCGGTGAAGCGATGTCCTCCACAACTAGACTGAAGAACAAAAGGACAGCAACTTGTCTGTTCCCCTTCCCTGATTCCTCAATGCTGTTCCCCTCCCCCAACTCCCCAATTTAAAAAAAAAAAACTGGGAACAAATAAATGGCTGTTGCTTTAAACCACTAAGTTTGGGGTTGGTTGTCATGCAGCAATAGATAACTGATACAGTCCCTTAGCACTTTCTGCCCCATCTTTACTCAGACTTGGCTTGGATAAGTTTGAACTCTTTGACCTCAGCTGATTGGAAAAGGGAACGCGCACCTAACTTTGAGGCAGCCAATATCTACTGGCTGGCAGGTGGTAAATCAGATTTTTTTTCCTCTGGAGAATAAGATGAAGAGATCAGAGATTTCAGCAAGCCTGACTGTGAAGGAGGCTGGAACTGGGCTTTTAGAATGGGAGCTGGGGGTGGCTTTCAGCCCTGTGCAGGCTGTCCCATCATTAGAGGACATCAGATTGGGGAGAGATGCAGCAAGGGTGATAGGCCTTGGAACCAGATTCTGTGGGGACCCCAATAAATCACTTAGCTCCAGCTGGTCTGTGCTCCCCACTCCTTGTACCTCATGAGCCCTGACTTCAGACCCTCAAAGGCTCAAGGTCCCCAGGACTCCCACCACCAGCCAGGGGCTGCACATCTCCTCTCACCCATTCTTCCTTGTTTTCTGAGACCTTCAGCCCCCAAACACACAGGTTGTAGCTTTGTCCTCCAGGACCGCAGGGCAGGGTGGTCTCTCTGTCCTGGGCAGAGAGGAGTGATGGGTCCATCAGCTCCCAGCCTCCCCACAGCCCCGAGGCCTTCCAGGGCCAGATAGAGGGCGTGATCTGGCTTAGCTGCTACCCCAGCCTCATCAGAGTTCCAGCACTGTGTCCTTTGGATCCTCCACATAGTCCCTTACCCTGCAGTTCCTGAGGTCAAACACCCTCCCCTGCTTGTCCATAATGAAGGCATGCTGTTAACGGTGGTCATTATTGCACACCAAACATGTGTCACACCTAAGGTGGGATTTGAACCGAGGTCTGCACAACTCCAAAGCCCATACCCTATCACCACTCTGCTGTGTGACTCTAGGCAGTTTACTTCCCCTTTCTGAGCCTCAGGTTCTCACTGTGAGGGATAAGCCAGGGGGGATCCTGGTGCGTGCTGTTCCCTCTAATACTCACCCTGCTGGGTGCCATCTTTGGCTGGGTCCACTTGTGTGTCCAGGGTAGGATCCCAGTCTTATCGCCCTTTCTCTTTAAGGCATGCTGTCTCATGGAAGAACAGGACTGGAGGCTGCCTCTGGTCTTGGTCCACGGAAAGCAGGCTACCCTCTGAGGATTCAGTATCTTGCCTTTTCCCCCAGTAGCTTGGACCCAGGCTGAAGGGTAAGCAGAGCAGCCAGCTCCCTACAGAGCTGGAGGTGGCAGGACATGCTGACTCTACAACCCCACTGGGTCTAAGGAACACCGGGGCCACTGGGCTGTGTGGAATGTGAGTGGCCCAGGAGAGCTTTGGCCCCACCCCCGGACCACCTCTGGGTTCAGGCTCCCAGCGTGTGTGTGCCAGGGCAGGGTGTGTGTGTGGGGGGGTACGGGGGGGTGGGCGGCGGATATTTGCTCCCCTTCTTTCCCCTTCAGAGGCTGTCAGGCCATGGAGACAGTGGCCTCTCCAGCCTGACTTACCACGTCATTCCCCCCTGTATCTGGCAGGGCTCTTAGCAGTTGAGTTCGTTACCCTCTTCTACAGATGAAGGTCCCACAGGTAGGCAAGGACAGCACTGAAATCCAGGACACCTAGCTCCCAGCCGGGCTCTGCCATCTCCAGGCTCCTTTGCTTGAGCCAAACCAGCTCCCTGACTCTGGGTACTCACGTCCCCAAAACTGACTCTCTCCCCCATCAGCAAACAACCTCACAATTCTTGTGTCCCAGAGTATCCTCAGTTCCCTCCCAGAAGGCAGGAATAAACTGGCTCCATAAATCCCCTGCTCTTTCCAGAACCCTGGAGAGCCCTAGGGACCCAGGCATCCTGAGTTAAGGAACCAACCATGGCTGCCTCCTGTGGGGGGGGGGTGTGGCACCAACCAGGGTGTCCGGGGCTGGGCAGCAGAGAGACTGTGCTCTGGTCTCTCTCCGGAGGTGGGCAGGTCTGTCGGATTCTTGAGGTCTCACATCCCACTGGCCTCTTGTTGCATACAGACCACCCCCATGCCAAAGGAGTCCTCTCCCTGTTGCTTGTGCTCCCAAAGTGGTCTCCTGCCAGGCCTGGCTCTGAGAAGCCCCAAGCCAGTCTTAGAAACCTGTGGCTCTGAGAGTCTGGAACTCCCAGGTCCTGGTCCTGTCACTTAGCAGCTGTTTGACTGTGGATAAGCTGCCAGCCTGTCTGGTCCTCAGTCTCTGCATCTGTACCAGACGGCAATCATCATCACCACCAATGGCAGAGGACTTCCTGAGTGCCAGGCACGCCACCAATCAACAAATGTACCTATACTCCCTCGTTTAACCTCCTAATAACTGAGAGTAGTAGGACCATCTTTATGTTACAGATGGGAAGACTGAGGCTCTGAGAGGTTAAATAACAATCCCAAACAGCTAATAAGCATTAGAACAGGAACTCCCTCAGGCTGACCTTGAACCTCAGAGACATACAATCATATCTCAGCTGCCCCTCCAGAGACCATCAGCTTTTACCCCACCACATTCCAGATCCAATGGGGGAGGATCCTGTTTCTTCCCAGGGATAAAGCCACCGTTCAGAGGATATGAGGCTCCCCCAGAACCAGGGACAGTCCAGGGGTGCTGCTTGGGAGATGAGGGTGAGACAGGGTAACCCAATCACTGGCTACAAACTGCATCAGCCAGGAGCCGGAAACCAGGAGCAGAGTGGGTTCTCAGGCACATCTGTAGATTGAGTGAGTGAATGAGTGAGTCAACGCCATGCCAGACTGCTCACCCACCAGAGGCTTGGTCTAGAAGGTGCCAGGCATGCGGCTACCTAATTCATGCCCGCTTGGGTGAGAGGGTGAGCCCCAGGGAGATCCCTGACAGGAGGAGCTGCACTTTGAAAGTTTCTTACTGCAGAGGGGCGACTCTCCTATTGTTCCTTCTCCAAGTTCAGCTAAGTCTGATCCCATGGGTTCCTGCATCGCTGGGTCCTCCCCTAGCCTGAGATCAATGGGCAGTAGGTCACGCTGGGCCCACCATGGAGCTAAGTCCAAGGAGTCCCTGAGGAGAAAGAGGACACTTGGAGTTCAAGGGAAGAAGCCAGACTTCCCTGACCCTGGTGCCCTTCTTTGCCTGGCAGAGATGGGGGTAAGCACATGGTCTGCTGGCAGAGCTACTGCCCCAGGTTCTTGAGCCAGGGCCCATGGATTTGGGGAAAGTGAAAAGGTGACCTAAGGGGCTCTGCACTTCTGTCATCCGGGCATCCCTTTCCAGGGCTGAGTTTGGAGTGTTTAGGTTTGGTGTGAATGGGAGGGGCCACTTCTTGCCTTCCTGGTCAACTCATGTGCGAGTGGATCCCAATCTAGAACCCTTCACAGCCCAGAGTAGGCTCAGAGTGTGGCCTGGTGGATGACGGGGCAAGGCTGGAGTGGTGACCTAGGTCTGGGCAGTCCCAAGGGCAGCCCCAGAATGGCTTCCCCCAGCCCCCAAGACTGGGCACCCTACATGGGAAGTAACATAGAGTAGGAACTTGATAAAAGCTTGTGGAAAGAAGGCTTGGAGAGAGCTGGTGTTCCCAATCCCTGGAAATCTCCATGCCAAAGCTGCAGGGGTATTCTGCCTGGGGGGACCCCCAAACAGAGGTGGGCAAAGCCATGAAGCTTACGGGCCTCAGGGTGCTCCTGTGGGCCTAAAGCCCAGTTCATCCAGTCCATGCCTTTGGCCACTGCCCAGACTGGGCATGCCCCCCCCCTCCCCTGGCATGCCCCCAACCTGACCCCATGGAGATCCCTTCAGGAGGCCCGCCCCCGCCACCATGATAATAATGACCATAATGAGAACAGTCACCCACATGTGTGCACAGCGCTTTACAGGTTACAAAGTGTTTCACATACATCATCTCATCAATTCCTCACAACAGCCCTGTGAGGTAGGCAGGGCAGGGGTAACGCTTCCATCTGTACAGATGTAGAGACTGAGACCCAGAAACAATGACCTGTTTCAGGCCACACAGCAAGTTAGTGGGACAGCCGGACCAGAAGTTAGGCCTTGTCCCCGCCTCTGGTCCCTGGCTCGCTCTGCTGACTATGCTGTCCTCTGGGAGGACCCTAGCCCCTGTCCAGAGTCTCGGCCACACCAGACCAGGCCCCCAACCACCTGCAGCAGTGTTGCCTGGCAGCTTGGCAGGTAGCCCTGCTCCCAACTGGCAGCCCTGTCCCCTCCACTTGCTCCCAACAAACAGCCAGCTGGGAGGTGGGCCCACACCCACCACTCTGCCTGTTTCTGTAGGCTGCCTTGGCAGGGAGGGCGAGGGGAGGGAACCGGAACCTCCTTTCCTGTTTTCCTGAGTGATCCCTCCCCACAGGGGAAGAGAAGAGAAAGGAGGAAGAGGAGGGAAAGGAGGAGGAGGAGGAGATAAACAAGAAACTGAGTTGGAAGAGGGCCCTGGAGCAATCAGGACGTCAAAAGTTTGCATTCCGACTAGCTAAAGGAAATAGTTGTTTTTTTTTCTCTTTTTATTATTTCAGGTTTTCATAAAAATCCATAATTATTGAAACCCAAGTTACACAGGAAGTTCGTAACTTTTAAAATTGAATTATTGACTTCTGTGTGTAGGTCAGTCAGCTTCCGACTACAGTCTGTCCACATGTGCCCCTGTGCAGCAGCGTCCCCGGGCGGCACGTCTGAGGTCCTGGTAGAGGGAGGGCAGGTGGTGAGGACCGGTGGGGCAGCCAAGGGCAGGGCTGGGGGTAGGGGTGGGCGGGACCGGAAAGGGAGCCCCGCCCTATGCTCAGATCATCTTCATGTTGAACTTGCGGGGCGCGTCGGCGGCGGAGCTGAGACCAGCGTCCGACTTGCGGGGCACGTACTCGATTTCGATGTTGTGCTTCGTGTTGCCCTTGCCCCGGCTCCAGAGGAACAGCAGCACCAGGCAGAAGAGCACGACGCCCAGGAAGGAGATGAAGCCCATGGTGGTGGCGATGATGAGGGTCTTGATGTCGAAGGGGAAAGGCACGGTGGCGCGCGTGCTGTTGGCCTCTCCCTCGCCCGGCTGGTTGGAGATGAAGGCGAAGGTCTTGTTGGGCTGATGGGGCCAGTCGGGCGAGTAGCTGCGCACATGCAGGTGGGCAGGCATGGAGTCATTGCCGCCAGCGTTGGTCGCGATACACAGGTATGTGCCGTTGTCCTGAACCTGGGCGTAGCGCACCTCCAGCGTGCCGTCAGGGAAGACTGTGAGCCGCCCGTTGCTCTTGGCGGAGACCAGGTGCTTTCGGGGCGAGAGCCAGAGGATAGCTGGCGGCGGGTCTCCATCCGCGCGGCACACAAACTGCACCGTGTGGCCCTCATCCACAAACACTTGCTGGGCTTTGCGGTCCCGGATGCGGGCGCGGCGGCATGTGAAGTAGTTGGGCAGGAGCACGTCGGGGAAGTCCTTGAACTCCTTGCCCTGGACGAACTCGGGCGTGGCACACGTGGGCTGTTGCCGGTTGAAGTTGAGCCGCCAGCGGCGCCGGAACACCCACAGGAGACGGCAGTCACAGGCCAGCGGGTTGGAGTCCAGAATGAGGGTCTCTAGGTTGCCCACGGAATGGAAGGCGGACTCCTCCAGTGTGGTCAGCTGGTTGCCGGACACGTTGAGCACGCGCAGGTAGTTGAGGCCTCGGAAGGCGTAGGGTTCCACCACGGCCAGCTGCCCACCCACCAGCTGAATCTCCTGCAGCCGCAGCAGCTCGTGTAACATGGAGCCCTCGATGGTGGCGATGGGGTTGTAGGAGAGGTTGAGGAACCGGAGATAGACAAGGTGGCGCACAGCCAGGTAGGGCACAGCAGTCAGATTGCAGTGCGTGATGGAAAGGGACGTCAGGTTGAGGCCGTAGAGGCAGTTGGGCGTCATGGTGTCCAAGTAGGGCCAATGGGAGATCTCTAAGATCTTGAGCCGGTACAGCCTCTTGAAGGAATAGTCCCGGATGGCATTGATGTTGAGATGCCGGAGCCTCAGGACGATGAGACCGTGCAGGTGGGACAGCGCCTCGGTGGGGATGGAGGTCAGGTTGCATTTCTCCAGCGTCAGCTGCTCCAGGCTGTTGAGGCCGCTGAAGGCTCGGTGGGAGATGTAGACCAGGTCGTTGTCACCGACCTCCAGCGACTTGAGGTTGTACAGGTCCTGGAACATGTAGTCCAGCAGGATGACAATCTTGTTCTCGCTGATGTCCAGCTTGGTCAGGTTGCTGAGGCCGGTGAAGACGCCCAGGGGGATGAGCTTCAGGCGGTTGCTGCGGAGCCCCAGCGTCCGAAGGTTGAAGAGGTTGTTGAAGGCGCCGGGCTCCACGGCACTCACGATGTTCTCGTTAAGCTCCAGCTCCTCCAGGTGAGGGAAGCTGGCGAACTCGTCCTGGTTGAGCGTTTTGATGCGATTCTTGCCCAGGTCCAGCAGGCGGGTCTCAGTGGGAATGCCCTCCGGCACGGCCACAAAGCGCTTTCGATGGCAGAGCACCGCGCGGTCCTGGGCGGAGCACTCGCAGCGGGGCGGGCAGCCCGTCGCTGAGCCTGACAGCACGGAGCCCAGCACCAGCAGGAGGATGGGCTGCCAGCAGGCTAGGAGGGGGCTGGGCATGCTCCTCACGCCCCTAGCCAGCATCCTCTTGCTTACCTACAGCCAGGAGTAAGCACAGGCCAGAAGAGGAACTTAGAGGACAGCGTTTGGCTGGACCCTGCCCCAAGCCCTCCGTGTCCCCATGCCCTCCTGCCCCGTCAGGATATTCCTGACACAGATAGAGAGGCAGGGGCCAGAGTGGCATATGACACCTACCTGGGACCCCACAGTGAGGTCCAGATGCCTGAGAGGCCTCCTGCCACCCTATGCTATTTCCTCCTTGCCCCTTACCTTGCCCAGAGCCCTCCTAAAGGACCTTCCCAGCATCTCTGGATCGAAAGGATTCATGGAAGGGGCAGGGCTGCCTCAGAGGAGCCTGGTATTGGCCCCTCAGGCTGCGGTCCACCTCCTTTATGTTTTATGTTTTACAGGCACTGTGGCTCCAGGTGTGCGGCCCACACCCCATCCCTGCTTCCCCTGGTGCTCAAGGCTGAGGCCTCTGGAAACACTCTGCAGAGGAGCATGTCTGGTCCCCAGCCTGCAGACAAGGGCTTCTGAAGCTACTAGGGGCCCCTCTCACAGCCTTTAGTCTGAGCTGCCTCAGGTGCAGACACTGCAGCTGAGCCCACAGCCTGAGTCTTGGGCAATCACCAAATCCAGTGGTTCCTGTCTGCTCCCCGGTGGGGTTTCTAGATCAGTGGAGGGTACCCCCACCCAGAAAGCCAGAACCCAGGCCTGATGTCTCCCCACAGAGTCTCCCTGACTCTCCCCATCCTTTGGGTCCTCACAGTGACCCACTGGACTCCAGAGTGCAGGGTCCAGGGAATAAGTTTTTCTGTCCTCCTGGAATGCCACACCCCTGCCTGTTGAAACCCCATCGTCGGGGCCTCAATTCATGTCCACTGTGCTGACGAGCTTTTTCAACTCCCCAGTAGAAAGTATGCTCCCCTCCAAAGACTCCCTCAGCCTTCATCATTTGTCTTTCAGGGTTTCAGTCGCCCTCATCCTAGGGCCAGGGTCTGTGCAGCTGCTCGTCTGAGAGGGGCAGCCAGGCCCCTAAGCCCAGGAGGGCATGGGCAGCCTGGAGGGGCTGGTCCACACTGTAGCACTGAGGACGTGAGGCTTATTACAGCTGGGCCCTGAGGAACATGCAGCACTTGGGTGGTGGTGACAAGGGTGGCAGCATCAGGTGGGTCAGGCTTGAGCACAGGCTATAGGTGGAGTCAGTAAGGGGTGTGTGGAGCTCGCCCCCCATTCCTCTCTCTCCCAGACCATGTTCAGAGGCCACTTGCTCACTCTTGTATCTAGATGGTCTCCCCATCTCTTCTGTTCTCAGTTCCACACCATGGAAAACTGGCCCAGTTAAGGAGGGGGCTGGGAGGGCTAGTCTGGACTTCTCCAAACTCCAGGGTGGCCCAGACGGGTCTGGGGGCCAGTTGCAGCTGTCGCACTGCTGGTGGGGCAAAGAACCATTCTACCTTGGCCTGGCATCCGTGGGGCCTCACTGCCTGCCCACACACCCCACATCATGGCCCCAAGTGGGGCTCACTGCAGGAAGGGGAAGCCCAGGCTGAGAGGGCCCACCTCTGTGCCCCAGCTCAGGCTTCTCCCACCCCTTCTAGCCCCTCCCCACATCTGCGCATGCCTCTGTTTTCAAGGCCACAGGTCTTGTCATCCACACTTCAACCCTTAAGGGAACTGGGGCTCAGAAGACTTGTGGCTGCCCAAGGACCCCCAGCCCGTGCAGGGGGCAGATTTCAGACCAGAGCTCTGGTCTGTCAGGCTCCAGTGGAGCCACACACTTTTCAATTCTCCAGCTGTCTCCCAGGACTGACAGGTGCTCCCTGGTTGTTGATCGACTAAATGACTGATTAACCAGAAAGGGGTCTGGCTGTCACTGACATGTTATAGAATTGCAAGGCTTTGTTATCCCCAAGGGCTTTGTCTAACCCCCCTCCCCTCAGCCCCTCATGCTCTCTCAGACTCTTCTATGGTTTGGTCTCCCCGCCCTTTTCACATCAGGCCATTTTCCATAGTCGCACATGCTCCAGTGACCAACAAGAAAAAGCAAACATCCTGACAGGCAATCAATAAGTAATTGGGCCGGCAGCTGGGCACCTGGAGAGGTAAATAGGACTTTTAGCACCTAGCTCAGAGCTGGGTTGGTGGGTGGGGTGAGGGCTGAGAGATGAGAGGGGGTTAGCAAGGGCATAGGCCACCTGAGATGTTGGTAAACCCCTCACTCAGACAAGAATCTGATAGTTGAGTCCTCCACCACCTTGCTTCAACCTACCCGTCTACCTCCTCTCCCACCATTCCACCCAGTGAAGCCACCTAGGTATTCCCGCCTTGTCGCCATCTCCTTTTGGAAAACTCTCCCAGCCTCCTGCCCTAGCAGCCCTTTGTGAACTTCCACCCCAAAGGCCACTTCCTCCATGAAGCCATCCTTGACCTACTCGGTCAGAAATCACGTCTTGTTCACAACCATGAAACACCTTACATTTATTAGCAGTGATATCATGTAACATGTATAGCACACATCATTCTAAAAATGACTTGAGTCAATTGACAGAAAAGTTATGTTACAAGATAATAAAAAAATAAAACTAAAGAAGACAGAAAAGAATACTACAAAATCCTAACTAATGACTAAAGGTGAGAGCTTCCTGGTGACCTAAGCAAAGAAGGAAATACATTCCAAAGCCTCAGCACTTGGCCCTTCCCTGTTCCTTATGTTTAATCATGGGTCAAACAGTCATGGGTGCATCTCACCTGCTAGAGGGTGAGGTGCTTAAGGCCCAAAGGTGTGGTGCAGTCTTGGACCAAGGACTAGCACACACAGACCCCAGTGAACATTCTTTGAGTTTATGTAGGGGCTAAAACCCCTCTGATGGGGCTGACTCTGGAGCAGGCAGCTGAGCAATGAGACCTGGGGAATTCCAATATGTTGATGGAAAAGCTGGTCAGCATTGCCCTGTGTGGCTGCCACTCTCAGGCCTGGCAATTAGACCCTCAGAGCCATGGGCCATACTCTGCAGGGCCAGGATAGCTCCAGAAGGGCACAGCCTCTGAATTGCCTCATCCCTCACCTTTTGGCTAATAGGGTGTGGCTATCCTAAAAGATGGAGAAACCGAGGCCTGGAGAGGCTAAGGTGCCTGCCCAAGCTGACATAGCAGGAGCACAGCAGGCTGGATCTACTATCCTGGCCTAACACACCCATGGGGTCCTGTCACCCAGGGATGCTTATGGGATTGTGTCTGAGGGGGCCACCAAAACTGCGTAGTGGGCCATAGGTTGCTTCTGCCATCCTAGCACCGTTAATCCTGCGCGTTCCTCCTGCAATTGCCAAGAAGAGTTTTATGCATTTTAATCACTGTTTTATTTTGGATCCTTGTCCCCTGAAGGCCTTCCCACAAGGGCAAGAGTTTAAAAATTGGACCAATAAATACAAAGGAGAAAAACACTGAAGGCAGGCTAGTGGGCAGGCAGAGGACAGCTGTGCCCAGGGCGCAGGGCTCAGACCCCACAGCAGCCTGAGTCCTAGCACCAGAGCCCTGGAACTGCCTGTAACCCCCCGTCAGACCTGCGCTGCCACCATCACACTCTTACTCATGTCCCAGTGCAGATATGGCCTGGTCAGCTGCTCCCCACGCCGGCTATTCCACTGTGTGACATGGGACAATGCCTGTCCTCTCTGGTCTATTTCCCCCACTGTGCAGTGAGGGGCTGGATTCCAGGGTCCCTGAGAGAGCACATAATAGACACTGGACTTTCTCCAGCTGGAAAGTCAACATCCTCAAATGTGATTAGGGGATAAAGGGAAGTGGGAGCACGGGCCCCACCCTGTAGTTTCCGCAGGGCCAGAAAGATGTTCGAGGGACCTCACATTGGGGCTGTCCTCTCTGGGGCTCAGGGTGGGAAAGGCAGCTGGCGGAGACAAGAAGGAGCATGGGATCACCTGTGGGTGGACTTGGGAAGTCCACTGAGGAAGGTCAAGGGTCATTCTGTCTCATAGAGCATTGCTTGGGGGCTCCTGAGGGCAGGGGTGTGTCTCCTCCATGCACCCAGCCCGGCTCACACAAGCCAGTCAGACACCAGCTCCTGTAAAATGGGTTGGACTAATGTGTGCAGAGCACCAGCTACAGGCCAGGTCTGGGGCTTTATGCAGTCTCAGAAACCCTAACATCAGCATTCCAAAGAGGTGTTACATAGGAATAACTGAGGCTGCCAAATGGAACTCACCTACATCAGGCCTAGGCCACAAAGTGCAGAGGCAACAGAGAGCTCTGCTCCTCCTGGCCAGGTGGCCTGCCCCAGGAGCTTCCCGGTGCAACGCGGGCATTCTTGCAGACACACAGGCCAGGCCCACGTGGGACAGGCATGTTAGGGCCGTGCTAGGGAAGGCTCCAGGGCTGAAGGAAGGCCCTAGGTCTCAGGGAGCTGCAAGTAGGCGCCCTGCCCTCCAAAAAACCTGACGAAGGCTTGTACCCAGCTATCAGAAAATGGTGTGTTGAACACAATGAATTTTTCCAGTGTATCTCCGCCATGCCCGTCTCTTGTGCCTGCTGCGCTGTCTGTGCTAGAATCTCACCTAATTTGGGGTCAGCGGCAGCACAGGGTGGAAGGCTTAGTTATTTTAGGTTTCGAGTATCAGCATTTCATGGTGTTCCCACTCAGGGTTCCTCAGGAACTGCAGGGATCCCCAGCACGCATGGGTATGAGATCCCTGGCATGGAGGTGCTGCTGCCATTGCTGGGGCCCTTGAGACGCCAGGGCCTCTGGGTTCTCAGCCTGGGAAGTAAGGTGAGCATGCACGACCCCTTCCTGCCCTGACACCCTAAGTTCCATGACTGGCTTTGCACTAGCAGGGAGGAGGATTGATGAGGAGGGATGGCAGACCTGGGAAAGGGGGCTGGTGGCTTCCCCAGTCAGCCTAGGGTGCTGCCCAGCTCTGTCATCAGGAAATGACTGAGAGACCAGGGAGGGGAAAGGTGATGGAGCCAGAGACACAGAGCAGGCAAACAGAAGAGAAAGGAAGAGGAAAGAACAGAGGCAG